AAAAAAAAAAAAAAAAAAAAAAGAATGGTGTGGGTGGAATGTGCTGTGACCTCAAGGATGACAGGTATCCTGGGTCTAGTAGAGCAAGGACTGTCCTGCTACATACCCCAGGGTCTGAAGGGATGAGACAAAGGGGGTTACAGGCCTGTAGTCAGGGCCACCTTGATAGGAGCTTGGCCTTTGATCAGAGGAACATGGTCAGCCTGCAGCCACATTGCAGAGAAAGAACTCAGGGAATAAGCACTCAGACCTCCAGTTTCTCTTTGGTGACCCCACAGTCTGACCCCACTGGAAACCAGAGGATAAGAGAGCCTGCTGATGTAGCCTGTGGGGGTCATCTCCTGGGGCAGAGGGTACAGCCTTGCTGAAAGGGAGCCAAACTGACCTGAGACATGCCTCACTACCCAGGAGCAGGTAGCTTTGGGCCGAATGGAGGCACCCAGACACTGTGGCAGGGAGCTCTGAGATGGGCGAGGTCACACACGGTAGCCTCTCACTGGAGCAGGAGGAGGTGAAGGACCAAGTGCCCTCTGATTCCTTGAAGACCCACTGGTGTTGGTTACTTACCATGCTGAAAATTGGCTGCCTGGCCCTCCCTCAGTGGTGGGCACTGTCCTCCCTCTCCTACCCTCCCTGCCCTGCCGCCATCACTCTAGGAGGGTCTAGAACTAACCACCAGAACTAATCACACAGCAACCGTATGTATGTGGGGCACCAAGAGGTGGTGGCTCAGCTTCTACGAGACTGTACAGTGGGCAGTTAAGAGCAGGACCCGGGAGCCTGACTATCTGGGTTCAAATCACACTTCTACCACTTCCTGGCCCTGTGACTCAGTTTCCTATCTGTCAAATGGTCATCATAATTATTGAGGAAGAGATGGTTTCATACACATCAAGCCCTTTGCCCAGTCCTTAGTAAGTGCTCAGTTGGTTGGCTCTCTGAACCACGGAGGGCCCCTATTGAGCCCAATGCATGTTCCTCATGGCCTGGGCTGCCTAAAGGACTCTAGGTGGTTCAGGACACATCCTTTGAGGAGGGAAATTGGCAGACAGCAGCCACACAGTCTGCCAGTCTGCCATATGCTGAGAACCTGACTCTCATAACTAATGCATCTTTGATTCTCCCATCAACCCCCTAAGCCCAACAGAGCGGGCTGTCAGGGCATCTTACAAAAGAGGAAACAGGGGCAGCTCCTGTGGCTCAAAAGGGTAGAGCGCCAGTCCCATATGCCGGAGGTGGCAGGTTCAAACCCAGCCCTGGCCAAAAACTGCAAAAAAACCCCAAAAAACAAAAAAGAGGAAACAGGCTCAGAAAAGCACTTTGCTCAGAGACAGCCACAGCAAGTAAGCAGCAGACCCCGTACCCGAACCCAGGGATCCAATCCTCCTCTACGCTTGTGTCCATAAAGCCCAGCACTCAGAGGAAGGATGGGTGAGCCCCTATTGGCAGCAGACAGTGTCTGGACTAGAGGAAGAAGAAATGGAGCTGAAGGTCACAGGAGCCTGAATCCCAAGGTCAGGAGGTGGTGGGCTTTATCAGTGGGGGCAAAGAACCCTTGAAGAGCAAGGGACTGTGTAGGGAGCACGGCTCCCAGAGAGCATTGCAAGAAGAGACTTCCCAGTGACAGAAGAGCATGGTTCATGTTGGCTAGAGACACTGGCGAATTTCTTCCCAGGAAGCAGGCTTCTTGGCTTCACAACCTGGCCAGTCCCACCAAGTGGGTGCTGCCCCCAGGCTGGGCAGCACCCCAGCTTCAGGCACACTGCCAGAGATGAGAACTCCTTTCTTTAAATATCATTGGGCAGTGACTAAGGCAATCCCCCACTACAGGGAGAGCAGTGCCCACGGGTGCATCTTCCCAAAGGGGCTGCCCACAGCTTCCTGGGTGGAGGCCAGGGGCGCCCACCAGGCAGGATTCGGCTTGGAAATGGAGTCCGTGCAGCCTTGCCTGGTCCATCCATCCCTCCTGTGGCATTCAGGCAGTCCCAGTGCTGGGTTCTGTAGGGGGCTGGGGCTAAATGACTTTTGACCTCACAAACAACTATCTCACCCCCACCACTGGCTCAGCCCAAGTCTGGACTTGAGCAGATGCAAGAGAGATAGAGCTCAGCTCAGCCAGCACACAACAGGCAAGTGGAGGTTAGCTGAGATCAGACTGTGCAAGCTTCATTGCTGCCACTGAGGAGAGGAAAGAGGGCTTTTAAATCTTCAAGCCTGAGCCACCAAAGGGAAGATTTGCCTTGAGATTGTTGGGACAGCAGAGCCAGGACTCTCCCCCAGTCTCTGGATTCTCTGCCTGGTGGTTTCTCCCTGCTGTGGCCTCTCAGGTCCCTGGCCGCCACCTCTCCAGCTTTGGCACTCCCTCCATAACCCTTTCTGCAGATCCAGAGGAATGCCTACTCCATCTTCTTTGATGAGAAGTTCTCCATCCCCCTGGATCCTGCAGCCCTAGAGGAGAAGAGCCTACGGTTTTCCGTGTTTGGCATTGATGAGGACGAGCGCAACGTCAGCACGGGGGTGGTGGAGCTGAAGCTCTCTGTGCTTGACCTCCCACTGCAGCCCTTCAGCGGCTGGCTCTACTTACAAGACCAGAACAAGGTGAGTCTGGCCTGCTTTGGCCTGCCCATCTACCCCTGCAGAAAGCACACATTCTCCTTTGTCCTATGCAACAACCTGAACTTGATTGTTGGGAGAGCAGAGGAGACCTGAGCCACATTTGAGGAGATTCTTCTAACTGTAGGAAAATGACAGAAATCCTCCTGACCACTGTTTACAGCTCATCCACTGCTCTTACCACCAACTTTCAGAGGTTCTACTCCTGCAGAGCTTCTATAGGGAAGCACTTCTCCAGCCCTAACAGGGACTGTGTCAGACAGAGGCCAGGCTGCAGTTTACTTTTATAAATGTGGGCATGCTTAGGGAACAGCATTGCTGCTTAAGTCGTATGTACTGCTACCACATACTGCGCTTGGGGCCTAGAATGAGGGAACAAATCTGAATTTGATCGCTACATTTGACAGGGAGCCCCTGGCCCTCTTCTTAAGACATGGCTCCCGGCTTGGCGCCTATAGCTCAACCGGCTAAGGCGCCAGCCACGTACACCTAAGGTGGCGGGTTCGAATCCCCAGCCCGGACCCGCCAAATAACAATGATGGCTGCAACCAAAAAATAGCCGGGCGTTGTGGCGGGCGCCTGTGGTCCCAGCTACTTGGGAGGTGGAGGCAGGAGACTCGCTTGAGCCCAGGAGTTGGAGGTTGCTGTGAGCTGTAATGCCACGGCACTCTGCCCAGGGAGACAGCTTGAGTCTCTGTCTCAAAAAAAAAAAAAAAAAAAAGACATGGCTCCCATCCAGGAGAAGGGAGGGGTGGTACCTGGTCCATGAAGCATGGGGGGAGCAGGGGAGGTGTCCCCTTCTCAATCCTGCCAGTCTGGTGCCCTCATGCAAGGAACCCTAGGAACAGTCACTCCTCTATGGAAAAGGAAGCTTCTGCCTTTCCCTGGCAATCGAGACCTTCCCTGGACCGCCCTCTGAGCTACCCACCTGTCCCCCAGGCTGCTGATGCAGTGGGTGAGATCCTGCTGTCCCTCAGCTACCTCCCTACAGCTGAGCGTCTCACTGTGGTTGTGGTGAAGGCCAAGAATCTCATCTGGACCAACGATAAGGCCACAGCAGGTAAGACTCTGCAGGCTGTGTGGCTCGTCTGTGTGGCTCCATGGAAGATGTGACCCAAATGCTGTGCTGTGGGCAGCTGGAGGCATCAGCAGGAGTGGGACACCATGCCAAGGTCCCCCATGGCTTTGGCTGAGCTCAGGACCCATGCACAGTGGAAAGATTAATCTAGCTAGGGATATGTGGGAACTCTAGAGGGTGGCAGGGAGCCCCTGTGAAGGCAGGGTGACGGACCCAAAGTGACAGGGACCAAGGTGATGGGGCCCAGGGTGATAAGGCCCAGGATAACAGGGGGCCAGCATGACAGGCCCAAAGTGATGGGGCCCAAAGTGATACAGGGCTAGGGTGATGGAGTTCAGGTTAATGAGGGGACCCAGGGTGATAGGGGTGCCCAGGGTGGTGGGGATCTGAGAGCTGGAGGCAGCACTCAGGGCCAGGAGCACTAGGCAGGGAACCAAGGGGGCACCTGCTTCTCAGAGCTGGAATTCATGATGGAGGCTCCATTCTCAGACATAGGGCAGCATCCCAGGCTGCAGACGGGACCAGGGATGCCTGGTCAAGGTGGGTGCCAGGCAGGACCTGACACTGGTCTACAAGACCCTCTAGCCCCTCTCAAAGCAGTAACCCATGGAGGAAGCTATGCTCTGGGTAACTGAAGGCAGGGAGCTGCAAGCCTAGGGGCACCCTGGCTCCAGGCAGGTTCAGCAAGGACACCCTCTGGGCAGTAGGTGATAGCCAGATGACAGCTCATTCTTTAAGAGCTGCACACAGTTGAATCAGGCTCTGCTGAGCTAGTGCCAGTGACTCAGGGCTGACGTCTGCGCTCAGACCATTTATAGAATGGCAAGTGGTGGGTCTGCTGAGCTCCCCAGAGCGTCGCGTGAGGGGGCGTGTGGGCTGAGGCTGGCTGCCTGAGTCCACAGCCCAGGCCTCTCCTGACTTGCCACGTGAGCCTTAGTTTTCTTATCTGAAAAGTGGGAGAAATGATGAAGACCTAATAGCAGGACTGTAGGGTACAATGACATCAGCTGAGGCTTGGGGTATTTGGAGCAGTGGGCCAAGCTGGACTGGGCAGGTCTGTGCCAGGTGATTGTGGCATTGGCCCTCAGCGCCCCCACCTGCCTGCAGACCCCTTCGTCAAGGTGTACCTGCTGCAGGATGGGAGGAAGATGAGCAAGAAAAAGACGGCTGTGAAGAGGGATGACCCCAACCCAGTGTTCAATGAAGCCATGATCTTCTCGGTGCCAGCCATTGTGCTCCAGGTGAGGGGGGGAACCGGGGAGAGGCCAGGTCACCCCAGGACTCTGGGGCCACTCCATCTCCCTCTCTCTGCAGCTTCACTTCTCGGGGCTCCTGCAGATGATAAGGGTTTGCGTCAAGCCATCCCCTTTCTAGCATTTATTGAGCGCCCACTGGGTGGCAGCCTTATGGTGGGTGCTGGGTTACAGGCACTGCTCACAAGGGATAGGCTGTTAAGTCCCCAGACAGTTCCGATCTACCAGGCACATCTCAGACTTCAGCAACCAGGTGTTTGTGGAGGTGGCTCAGGTGAGTTCTGGGGGAAGATAGTTCTCAGCAGGGGGAACTGCAGAGGCCCTAAGATGAGCTGGGGTAACCCAAGGGCCCAGAGTCTGGCTCTAAATCTCCTGAGGCTCTATTGCAGAGGCCATTCTGAGCCCCCCACACTGCCATTGCTTTCAGAAGGTGCTGTGCCCCAGGGGCACCCCCTCCCAGCAGGGACATCAAAGACCATTTGTGGGGGGACTGTAGACAATGTGGTTTAGGCCCTGCTTACATACCTCAGAGGATGGGGCTCTCACTACCTCCCTTCACTATCTCCATCCTTGAGTACTCCTGACACTGAAAAAGTCCTTTGCACCGGGCGGCGCCTGTGGCTCAGTGAGTAGGGCGCCAGCCCCATATAACGAGGGTGGCGGGTTCAAGCCCAGCACTGGCCAAACTGCAACAAAAAATAGCCAGGCATTGTGGTGGGTGCCTGTAGTCCCAGCTGCTCGGGAAGCTGAGGCAAGAGAATCGCCTGGGCCCAGGACCTGGAGGTTGCTGTGAGCTGTAATGCCACAGCACTCTACGAAGGGCCACAAAGTGAGACTCTGTCTCTTAAAAAAAAAAAAAAAAGTCCTTTGCGCCTTGAGCTAAAACCTGCCCCTATAGTCCAGGGGCTGTAGAGAACCCACCTGATCTTCCCTCCCCAGGGCACCTTGTCTGGATTTGAAAGCCCAGAACTCTATGTGACTCTTGGTGTTCCTAACCCAGGCAAACATCCCAACATCTCTGGCTGGTCCTGGGTATCATAGCCTTGCTCTGCCACCCTCATGGGATAGGCTTCCCGTCTGTTCCCTACCTCCCCCAGGTAGTCACAGTGCCACCACTCCATAGCCTCCATAAGTGAGAGACTTCTTGGGACCATGGGAGAAGGCAGGAGGACAGAACCCAGGCTGGGTTATAGGCTCATGTTTACTGCTTTGATCTCAAGTTCTTTCCCTTCCTCAGTGATGAGTGCAACATGACGATGATATTAGCAATAATGACAGACCCCTGTGGTGCTCTGCCTGTGTGCAGGCACCATTCTACACATTTTAAGGCATTTCTTTCTTGGAACAGCCCTATATGATAGGAACTGTTACTATCATCACCATTTTACAGGTGGAGAAACTGAGGTAGTAAAAGCCCAAGTCACTGCCTAAGGTGATGCAGCAAGGAACTGGTGAGGCCAGCAGGTGCTGGCAGTGCAGTGCTGCCACAAGGCGGCCAGAGAAGGCTGTGGGGATCTAGTTGAGATCCTTGCCCACCAATTATTTCCTTGGGTGACCTTGGAAAAATCTCATCTTCCAGATCAGAGGTGAGGAATCCTCCAGCTGCACCTGGTGTCCCACTGGGGCCCAGATATGACTTGGGAACCAGGAGCCTAGGGGGACCCCAGGCTGTTCCTAGTCACTAGTGCCTGTGTTGCCTCCTCCCCAGGACCTATCTCTTCGCGTGACAGTGGCTGAGAGCAGCAGTGATGGCCGTGGGGACAACGTGGGCCATGTCATCATTGGGCCATCTGCCAGTGGCATGGGCACCACACATTGGAACCAGATGCTGGCCACACTGCGCAGACCCGTGTCCATGTGGCATGCTGTCCGGCGAAACTAGCAGCCGGGGCAGGTTAGGGGAGCAGCAGAGCCCCTGCAGCCTGGCATGAACTCAGCTCTGTCCAACACCCTCTCCACAGCCCAGCTGGGGCCATGAACACTGGGCACCTGGTGGAGTCCTCTTGAGCCATCTTCGTCCCTCTGTCCAGACTAGAGCAGACATGGCTCTATGTCCAGGAACCCAGAGTTTTCTCCCACTGCAGGCCAGCTGTGGCTGGGCCAGGACCCAGGGAGGGCAGCTGGGCACTGGCCTATTGGCTCCATTTCAAGCCCCCTACCCTGCTCTTCCTGAGAGGTGAGCTGCACCCTAGGCCATGCACTGGAACCCAGGAGTCTTAGGGGGCCAGGCACTGGGCTAGCCACTGGCAGGGATAACACAAACAAAACCCAGCTCCCAGCTTGCTAGGTGCAGTGGCTCACACCTGTAATCCTAGCACTCTGGGAGGCTAAGGCAGTCATATCACTTGAGCTCAGAAGTTCAAGACTAGCCAACCAAGAGCCAGACCCTGTCTCTACTCAAAATAGAAAACTTAGTAGGGCATTGTGGTAGGCGCCTATAGTCCCAGCTACTTAGGAGGCTGAAGCAAGAGGGTCATTTGAGTCCAAAATACTTAGGTTGCTGTGAGCTATGATGATGCCACAGCACTCTACCCAGGGTGACAGAATGAGACTGTCTCAACAACATCAAAAAAACCCCAGCCCTCAGGACATCAGGAAAATAAGACCCTTTGCCCCAGGGGATCTTCTCAGTGCTGAAAGGTGGTCCAGCCACAGGGACTCTCTTTGAGGAATGAAAAGGGAGGGCTGCTTAGAGGGGCAGGGGCCCAAACCGAGAAGGGATGTGAACTTCCCCATCACAGACTCAGTCCTCAGCCCGCTGTAGTGGATCCAGGCATGAGAGACCAGAAAATCAAGCCCAAACGGCAGCCTGTAGGCCAAATGAAACCTATTCCCTAAACCTCAACCATTGCAAGGACCAGACCTAGGTTCCTGTGCTCTGTCCTGTGCAGACAAGGCATTAGCTCCAAAAGTGGGTATTGGTTCCTCCAGGCCACCGCAGCCAGCAGGAGCTGGTGGGTGGTGGAGCAGGTAGGACAGCAGAGATCTCAGTGGATAAGGAGGCCCTGGGCTGAGCGTTGGAGCCATGGCAGTGAGGAGGGACCATCCAGGTAGCTGAGGCATGATGGGAAGTTGGGGAGGTCAGGGAGGTCGGGCAGCTTGAGGCACAGCCTGAGAAGATGGAACTCCAAACCAGGAAGCGGTGGCTCTGGAGCTTGGTTCCAACTCCCAGGACATGAGATGTCTTAAGTTAAAGTCCCTGAAGTAAAATCTGAGATGGGGATTCTTAGGCAAGTGACTGACAGGGGGAGGAGCTCTCAGAGAAAGGGAAGCTCAGGCCAGGGGGAAGAAGCCAAGTGCATTGTGGCTTCGGGGATGCCCAGCTTCCACCAGATCACTAGGGAGCTCTGGAATACAAGTAGCACCCACGGGGACTGCCCAGACGCAGAGGGGCTGGCCTGCTACCCCCACGGGAGGCCATCTTTGACTACTGCCCCAGCCCCTCCTGGAGTGAGGGTGGACTCACCTTCCCAGGTATTGCCAGCTAAGGCAGCTCTTGTCCACCAAAGGCAGTCCCAGAGAAGTGGCAGCTTCATGCCCTGCACGAATGAGGGTGGGTGCACTTGCCCCACCAGAGGAATGGGCCCCCACAGGTGAGGGCATGGGCTCTCAGGCTGGCTTCCCTGCTCCCTGGCCCTGGTAAGCTATGGAGACCCAAGTCCAACCAGTTATCCCCAGTGACAGAGGGGTGGGGGTGTTGGCTGAGACAGGGACTCAGAGTGGTCATGGAGGCAAGACGGTGGCTCTCCCCACCTGACACAGCCCAGCCTTGAGAGCAGGCTCCCTACCCTGTGGCCAAAAGAAAGAGGGAGAGCATAGGGCCAGGAGACACATGGCTGGACATGTGTCTTTGCCTCTAGGGAGACCCAGGCTCCTCCTAACCCAGTGGCTGTGCAGTGTAGGCCCCCTGCTCTCTCCCCTCTTCCCTCCCTCTAACTGCATGACATGTTGACTGTGTACCCAGGACGGCCATAGTGGGGCCTGAGTATGCTGACTGGAATGATTCTGGAACCAAAATAAAGCTGGGGCAGGAAGAGGGGGCTTCCAGGGAGCCCTGCTCAACCCCAAATCACCTTTGTCTCTTCTCTAGGAATCAGGGATGCAGGCCTCATGGGGGCTACTGTGCCTCATCCCTCCTCTGCTGCAGCATGCTCTGGGGCAATGAGGTCAAGAACCGAGACCATTAGCCTTCTTGAGAAGCTCATAAGGGGTTCCCGAGCCAGTGCTGGCCAAGGAGAGTGGTGAGGGGGAATATCAAGGAAGGCTTCCTGGTGGTGACACTCAGTGGTGTCTGCAGGGCCTGAGGGAGAATATCAGATGGATATAGTAGGAAAGCCTTCCTGGTAGAGAGAACAGCACACACAAAAGGGCAGCAGTGGGCAACAACTTGGCCAGTTTATAAATCTTGCCAGAGCAAAAAGCAAGGGGTGGTGGGAGCTGGGGTGGCCGAAGGGAGCCGAGAGAGACTAGAGGAGAGAAGGGCCTCACGTGGTCAGCGGGTACTGGTGTCCCGCTTGCAAGCCTACTACACTTATAAGTAGGTTCTGTTGCCATTCCCTTTTTGCAGGTGTGGAAACGAGCTTGCAGAGGTTGGATAACTAGCCCAAGATCAGTCAGCCAGAAAGTCACAGAGCTGGGATCCAGGCTTAGGCTGCCTGACTCCAGAGCCATGCTCTCTAGTGCTAGGCAACACTGCCCCCTTCCCCGTGCTCAGAGGTAGGGCTGACTGGCAGCAGAAAACCCCGTGGCTCTAGGCTGCCGGAGCCCTTCCCTTCCCTTGTCCATGAAGTGTGGACAAGGATGACCTAGGTGAGAGTTCCCAGCCCTATCACAGGGACTGACTCTGAAGACCTTATCTGTCCCTCCAGCAGGGCAGACAGAGGTAACCAATGAGACAGGAAGTTGCAGGAGCCCATGAAAAGGGCAGAGACCAGGGAAGGCTTCTTGGAGGAGGTGGAAGCATGAGAGCTTCCCTTGCAGGATAGGAGGACTGTACATGGGGAGGAGGGAGAGAGGCCTCAGGCTGTCTGAGCAGGCCAGGAGTGGTGGCTCACACCTATAATCCCAGCACCTTGGGAGGCCAAGCCAGGACGATTGGTTGAGGCCAAGAGTTTAAGATCAGGCAGGGCAACATAGTGAGACCCCCATCTCTACAAAAAAATTTCAAAATTAGCCCCGCGTGGTGGTGTGCACCTGTAGCACTAACTACTCTGGAAGCTGAGGCAAGAGGTTTGCTTGAGTTCAAAGTTACAGTGAGGTAAGATTGTGCCACTACTCTCTAGCCTGGGGACAGAGTAACACCCTGTCTCTTTAAAAGAAAAAAAGCCTGAGCAAATGCATGTGTCTGGGAAGACCTGGCAGGCTGAGGCCTAGGAGGCCAGGGTGGGGTGGGACTATGGAGGCTTCCCATGCCCAAGTTGAGGCAGAAGGTCTTGCTGGCAGTGGGGAGCCACCAAGGGGGCCTGAGCAGGAACAGATGTAAAGAAAAGGGGGGTTGTTCTAAGAAGCTGTGGAGGTGACAGGGAGGGTCATCAGCAAGCACTGCTCCTGGTCAGTGAGGGGCAGGCAGGGCAGGTGGGAGGCCTCTGAGCTACCTTTAGGCTGGAGGTTCGTTCAGCAGGACGGAAATCAAGGTGCTTTCCTAGAGAGCAGTCAAGATGGTGGAGCTGAGAGAAGCTGTCTTCCATCCACCTTGTCACCCTCCCTTCTCTGACCCTCCGCTCTCTAGGCCCCCATCTCTTCCTGCCCCTTCATCTCCTCTTCTCCAGCCGGGGCCCAGGGTCCTGCCTCCAGGGCCCCAAGTGCCCACCCAAGAGGAAGAGTGTGGCAGTCTCTGACCTGATGAGCAGTGTTGCTTGGGCCAGGCCTGCCTATGACAGAAGCAGGACTTGGTGCTCTAGCAGCCACAGCAGACAGCAGCTCCCAAACTGCACTTCCCCTCCTGCCTGTGGCTGTCCACGTCTGCAGATGCCAGAAGGGACAACCCAAAAGGCTAAGAGCTAAGATCAGGACACAGTGCTCCCCCTCTCTACCCACTCCCACCTCATTATCTACCTTCCTGTGCCACTGTAAATATCAATAATGGTGAAGCAAGGAGAGGAGACAGGAGCAGGAGGCCATGTCCCCACAACCCTGGGCACCAGATGGATGGCAGTAGGGCTTGAGACAGAAGAAAATTGCAAGAAGAGGCCCTCTGGGTTCTGCTGGCATAGACCTGAGTGTGCTGCTTGCTTGCTGTGTGACAAGTTCCTTCTCCTCTCAGAGCCTCAGATTCCCCATCCGAAGAATGGGAGTGTTAGAAAAGATGGCCTGTAAAGGCCCCTACTCCTCTCATTTGGGGGCCTTCTGTGTGCATGGGCTCTGGAGCCCAGCTTCCTAGGTTCCAATCCCAGACTTACCATGTACTTGCCGTGGGACCTTGGACAAACTTTCTGTCCTCTTTGGGCCTCAGTTTCCTCCTTCGTCAGAGGAGGGTAAGAATTGTACATACTTCATTGGGTGGAATGAAATGACACACACCAAGTGTCTGGCACAAATGTACGCAGTAAAGGCTTTGGGCAGAGAAGTTCAGGCTGAGGACAAGGGCCCTTGAGATCTCGTGTTCAGGGTGACAGAGCGGAAGGTAGCAGGGGAGGCACGAAGAGGAAAAGGCTCTGGGAACTACACACTGGGCTCATGCACCCAGCCACAGAAAAGCAAGGGCCGAACTGGACCTCAGGCTCTACCCATGGCATGCACAAACACCCCACATCCCCAAGGCCAGCAGGCAGCCCAGAGTAATGACAGTGCAGGGAGCATAGCAGCCACAGGAGGGCAGCAGAGAATGGCCTGGTCCCTCCAGATGGGGGTGAGGTACCAGAAAATGGAGCAGAGAGACCCAAGCCCAGGGAGCCCCATGGAGCAGATGGAGTCTAGAGACTGGTTACCTGTCCAACGACACCCCACACACACCCCCACACACACACCCGTACTTGGTTCATGTGTTGCCTATACCCAAGCATTCATTCATTTCTTCGGTTTGTGTATTCTTGTGAGCCAGCCCGTCTGCCCGCCTTCTTTCCTTCCCCTCTCCATCATTCTGTCCTTTTCCTTCCCTTCCTGCCCTTGTTGGTTCAGCCAGGCAGCCAACTGGACATAACATCCTGGGCCACAGCTGGGTGCTGGTCTGGGACAGGCACTCCTCTCTAGGGGTACAGCAATGAGTCAGCCTTGGTGTCTGCCCTTGAGGTGTTGGTTGCTTAGCTGGGCACTGAAAGATCCTGTCTGGCCACATATATCCCAAAGGCTGACCTGGCCATTGCTGCTGTTCCGGGTCTGCAGGGCATTACCCCCCTGGGCAGGGTTCCCAAAGGACTCTGGGCTTAGGATTGGTGGGAGCTTGAGGGGACTGAGTCACCGACAGGCCAGAAGTCAAGAGAAGCCACAGTAATCAGTAAAACAGTGAACAGTACCCTGGCCAGGCAGACTCTATGACCTGGGCCACCACTCCAAAAATAAACTCCAGGAAAATAGTATGGTCCAGGGCCCAGCAATGCCTGAGATTCCAGGAAATTCCCTGCCGACAAGGGCAGATTCCATGGCCCAGTGACTAATCTCCCTATTGCAGGAGCACAAGCATAGGGTGGGGGTGAGGCTGAAGTTTGACATCAGGAGACAAATCCTGGCTCTGCATCTTGGTGGCCTACAACAAGCCACTGCCTGTCTCTGAGGTTCAGCTCCCAGATCTGTAAAACAGGGGGAAATAGATCATCTATGCTGGAATAATCAATATGAGGTATGATTGGCTTGGGGGTCTCATCTGGGTCTAAATTCTAGCCCTGTCTCTTACTAGCTGTGGATATTAGGCAGAACTCAGCCTCTCTGAGTCAGGTTCTTCATCTCTAAAATGGAACTAGTAGTCCCTACCCCCTAAGGGTCAGTGCCCACACAAGGTTTGCAATCCATTAATGGGTGCTGTTATTATTAGGAAATGTTCAGTGAAACTGCAAAGCATGACAGATATCAAGTGTGTCATTAGAGTGATTATCCCTATAGCAACCAAGGCCAAACGCCTCTGCTTGACTCTCAGTTCCCTCCACCCCCAGACTGGCCCCACCTGCCTCCCAGCCTTGCTACCTAAGGCCTGATGACGGCATCAGTGGGGATGAAGAGGCTGACAGCTGATCAACATGGGATGATCCCTACCACTCCTTGGGGCAGGGAGCCCTGCTCAGTAGCTTTGCCACCAGGCGGGTACCAAGTCACTGCCCAGCCCAATGGCAGTTTCAGGGAAGGGATACCTGAAGGGTGGAGCTGTCCTGGAGAGGCTCCCTCCATCCAGGGGAGGCTCCATTCAGCCTGCTGCCCATAGCCCTGAGGCTGTGCTAGGACCAGGAGTCAGGAGACTGGGCATCTCCTGCCTTGGCTTCCTCTTTGGGCCACAGTGAGATTCAAAGGGGGTTAAGGCGCTTTTTCACTTGTCTAGCTTTGAACTCCATGGAGGATGATGTCATGACCAACATGGGGGGGAGGGAGTGGGGACCCAAGGGATTCTGCCCCCTGCTCCTTTAAGCTTCAATGGAAAAACTCGATCCTAAGATTTGGGGAGACCCTTGTGGTCATTTTTAAAAGATTTAAAGCCTGGCCACTAAGAAGGGTGGGGTGATCAATGAGGTGACAATGAGTTTCCAGTTCAGTGCTGGGTTTATTGAAACCCTACACTACCCAAGCACCAGCTCCCCAACAAAGCCTCGCCCTCCCTGTGGGGGTGGGGCAGCAGTCCCCTGGGTCTTACCTCCATACCTTTGCTGTTCCCTCTTTTGAAATATCTTTTTTCCTTCCCATTGGACAACATCTCACGTTTTCCTTAAAACCCTGGCCCCTCCCTTGGAAGGGTTTCCTGACTCCCCAACCTGGGGAGAAATCCCTTTTCTCCTATCCCTTCTTGTCACAGTGATGTCCTGGCTGTCTGTGGGCTTCTCCAGGCAGGGACTCTGTCTTCAATAGTTCAAGGTCCCCAGATCCTTGACACCAGGGGGCCATATGATGGTTAAATAATAGGAACTATTCACACATGGTGCCAACCATGGGCCAGGCCCTGTTTTAAACATTTTACACATGGAAGTTTCTGTAGCTTTCCCCAGTGCCCCACCTGGGTGAGGCAGGTGGTCACTCCCCTGTGGCAAAGCTCCTTGGTGCTGGTGGTAGGACTTGCCAATGACCAACCCATAAGGGCATGCCCAGGTCACCCCCCACCCAAATACCTGGAGGGAAGACTGCAGTGGCTGTCTCCAGAGCCCCGGGGAATACGCATTTATTCATTCATTCAGCCAAGGGACCCAGCCCCTGACCCCAACAGGGTGGGAAAGCCAACACGGTGCCTCCCACCTTCCTCCCAGGGGCCGTGGGCCACAGTCACTGCCCAGCTACATCCCCCTCCAGATGTCCCGAGGCCTCAGGCCTGCACAGCGGGTGCTCAGCAAACGTTTCTCTGGCGCCCGGACGGGGCTGCAGGGAAGGGCCCAGCCTGCCGCCCGCGCCGCCCCGTCAGGGCTCTGCCGCTCACCTGGGCTCGCCCGCCCTCCCGCACTTCCTCCCGCCGCCCCGCCCCTTCCACATTCCTCTCGCCCGCCTACCCCGGGCCGCCGACCCGCGCCGCAGCCGCCCGCCCGGCCCCCCGCCCGGCCCGGGATGAAGGCGGCCCAGGAGGCTGGCGAGGAGGCGCCGCCAGGCGCGCGGTCCGCCAAGGTGGTCCTGGTGGGCGACGGCGGCTGCGGGAAGACGTCGCTGCTGATGGTCTTCGCCGATGGGGCCTTCCCCGAGGTGAGTGCCGGTATTACCAGACTCGACAGGCACCCGGCGATGCTCGGGGGCTGGGGAGTGCGGGGTCCGTGCCCGCCCGGGCGTCCAGGAGGTCTCCCAGCAGGGCCTGAGGTCAAGAGCAGAGTTCTTCTCCCTCTGCCATTGGAGTGAGGGCTCAGGGATGCCATCTGTAAAATGGGAGGAATGGCATCTAGCTGGGAGAGGTGTCACAGAGATGGCATTAGGCAAACTGGGTCCTTAGCATGTCCTAAGACACAACAGTGGCATAGCCTGGGGGACAGGGACTGAGAGCTTTGGAGCCAGACTGCCTGAGCTCAAATCATGGCTTTGCCACTCATAGCTATGCCCTTGGCCAAGTCCCCTAACCTCTCTGCACCTATGGTAGCATAACAGGAATAATGATAGTGCCCACTGCACAGGGTCACTGTGACTGCCTTTATAGACCTCTGATGCTCGGCCCACAGCCCACCCCCAGGAAGGACTCAGGGAACGTTGGCACATGTCATTCTTAGGAAACAGCCTCACTCGTCCCCAGCTCTGGCGGCTCCATGCATATCCCATGGGCCCTGCTTTGCCGGGTAAGAGCCTCCAGGTCTGGCTGCAGATGCCTGGGTGGCACATTCACTCTCCCATAATGGACCTTGAGCCCTTTAGCAACTAGCTTAGCTTCTCTGAGCCTCAGTTTCCTCTTGGCAACTTGGAGGGGTGGAAGGACTAAGTGATGGGGAGGTGGCATTCAGGAAGGGCTGACAAAGGCCTGGCACAGTGGCTCACACCTGTAATTCCAGCACTTGGGAGGCTGAGGCAAGTGGATTGCTTGAGCTCACAGGTTTGAGACCAGCCTGAGCCAGAGCAAGGCCTCGTCTCTAAAAATAGCTGGGCATTGTGGCAGGCACCTGTAGTCCCAGCTATTTGGGAGGCTGAGGCAAGAGAATTGCGTGAGCCCAGGAGTTTGAGGTTGCTGTGAACTATGACACCATGGCACTCTATCAAGGGCAACAAAGTGAGATTCTGTCTCAAAAAAAAAAAAAAAGGAAGGGCTGGGCAGTGCCTGTGGCTCAAGGAGTAGGGCGGTGGCAGGTTCAAACCCAGCCCCAGCCAAAAACTGCAAAAAAAAAAAAAAGGAAGGGCTGACACAGCTCAGCCGAACATGTCCTGGGCATGGTGTTCATCCTTGCCTGACTTGCCCACTGACTGGCCAGGGGTCAGGGCTGGACCACCCTACTCTGTCACCCCTCAGCCCAGTTGTCCTAGGAGTCCATGGGTTTGCTTCTGGTATCTTCTGCCTTTCCTATCCCAGCATCCTCCAACCCCAGGGGCTGTACAGGCTCTGGGGAGTCTAGTGGAGGAGGCAGGAGAGGCAGGGCCTGGGAATAGTGCTGGGCCTGGCCTGTGTGCTTCCCACTGTGGCAACATCAAGCCACTCTTGGTTTTGGTTTAGGGAGGTGACATCACCTCTTTTGACCAATTACAAACTTTTTTTTTTGAGACAGAATCTCAAGCTGTCACCTTGGGTAGAGTGCCGTGGCATGATAGCTCACAGCAACCTCCAACTCTTGGAGGCTGGAGAATCTTAAGCGATCCTCTTGCTTCAGTTTTTCTATTTTCAGTAGAGATGGGGGTCTCGCTTTTGCTCAGGCTGGTCTTGACCCGTGAGCTCAGGTAATCCATCCTCCCCCCTTGGCCCCCCAGAATGCTAGGATTACAGAAGTGAGCCCACAGCAGTGAGCACACCCAGCCAAGTCACAAACTTTTTTAAGTTGGGTGGGACATGTTTCTGACCCCAGATATTGCCAATGGGAACTTAACGATTATGGTACCAGGGGAAGAACCTCACCAAGAGGCCAGGCCACTAGGGGCCCTGTGTTGGGTATCTGACAGCTTGAGACTTGGAGCGGAGTGCCTTACTATTAGCTGAGACATCCTTGATGGTAACACCCTTGGTGGTGACACCCATCCCAGTTTCAGAGAGGACATAATGTAGAAGTGGGCTTCTTGCAGTTGTTGAAATGTATATTTTGAAGGACATGCTGGGGCTGGCCAGGGGAGAGGAGGGCATGGGTGTCACCAGGGGGATGGATTGGCCTTGTCTAGGTTCTTCTCCCATTTGGAGTCTCCAGCTTTCCTGAAACAAGAGAGAGATCTCTTTTTCTTCTTCTTCTTTTTTTTTTTTTTTTTTTTTTTTTAGATAGAATTTTTCTTTGTCACCCTGGGAAGAGTGCAGTAGAGTTATCATAGCTCACTGTAACCTCCAACTTCTGGGCTCCAGATATCCTTCTGCTTCAGCCTCCTAACTAGCTGGGACTACAGGGGCTGGGCTACTCTTCTCTTGAAGAACCATGTGTCTAAGAGCTGGGAAGGCTTTATTTTGCAAATGGGAAAACTGAGGCCAGAGATTGAGAGTCTTGCCAGGGGGCAAATGGCCCAGGGGTGGCAGTGTGATCGAGAACCCTGGTCTCCCTGCCTCCTACCAGGACCCTGTCCACAGCCCCCAGGGTTATGCCTGCTGGACTCAGCCTCTTCCCTGAGACTCTTCCTCAAGGCCACCCTTAAAGCCCAGGGAGCCAGAAGCTAGGATTAGGGTCCCATCTTCCTTTGCTGCAGGCAGAGAGCAGGCTGAGGATTTGGAGGACTTAAGCTCAACCTTAGGTTCAGGGCAGGGTGACCAAGGTAGAGAGAGCTTCTAAGGCAAAGAGGGACCCCAGAGCTGGACACTAGCCCCTGCCCACTGCTGCTTGGCATTTGGAGCAATAACCATTCCTGCAAGTGCAAAGCCCAGCAGCCCCCACACCAGGATGGGGATGGGAGGTAGCAGGGAGCACCCAGGACACTGCTGTTTAGAGCCAGCTGAGTCCTTCTTGTTGCAGTTAGACTCCCATGGGTGTCCTACTTGGGGATACCCTGACACCTTCTCTCAAGCTATACCCCCAATCCTGTGATGGTCCATTTTCTGTGAGTCCAAGGAGGGCAGAACCCAGGTTGAGTCATTCTCTGTCCTAGCCCAGCACAGATAACAGCCCTGCCTTTCTAGCTGAAGACAGCAACAGATAACGTGCTTATGTGTCCCATGGACAGAGGGTAACCCTGCCTGGGGGTTAAAGGTAGGGTTACAAAAGGTAGAGACAGAGGCACCAGAGGAGGGGGGTGGCTATGGCACTTACAAGCCAGAGGGGCAACCCAGCCCCTTTTCTGCTTACTCCTGGCACCAGGAACTGAAGTTGGTGACCTCAGGAGAGGATGTGAGTCCATCACCACCTAGCTGTCCAGTATGTCATCTTGGGCAAGTCACTTCTCCTCTGTAGGTATCATCAGGAAAATGGGGATTGTAACAACTTTGCAAGGTTGCAATGATCAGAGATGGTGCCAGTAAAGGGCCTGCATGGGAGATCCTAAGAGGGGGTGGGTGATGGTGTCATCACCACAGGCATTTGTAGAGCACTGACACGTGTCTCCCAAGAGCTTTGTGGCAGCCCGCTCTGCAGCCAGGATCAGGAAGGGTCCTGTAGCAGGGTCCTATGGGTGGCCAGGCTGGAAGCTCAGATGTCTCTGCCCTCCATGAAGCAGGACCCTGCCCCAGGGCAAAGGCTGGAAGCTGGGAGGGGCTAGAGAAGGTGGCAGCACCTGGAGGGACAGACAGGAGCTGATGTGGACACCACTCCTGGCAACGTGCTTTCTAAGTGATGGGCATTTATGCTGGCACCTCATCTGCCTGTCTGTCCTCCCTTCCACCCACACCGTGAGCTGACACTTCTTCTTTAACCAGTGAGAGGACTATCCCAAGGTCACAGGACTGATGAGTGCCAGAGCTAGATCCTAAGCCAGGTACATCTAATCCCAAAGCTAGTGCTCCTAGTCACCAAGTCACAATGTCCCCCACCAGGCAAAGGGACTGAGGAAGGGGTCCTGGGCAGGCAGGTGAGGACTTTGTCTATTCCTATTGGTTTTTCTTTGTGGAGGGAATGACAGGTGGCTGGAGTCCAGGGCAATACTACCACAAGATGTCTTCTCCATCTTCCCTAGCTGCCCACTCTGGGACCCACTTTATGCTACCTCCCACCCCCACCACCACAGCTTCCCAGGTATCCTGGAGGACAGCGCTAACCCACTGCTAAGGTGCTGCCTCTCCCAGCTGGCCAGGGCCTGACTCAGAGGGCCAGAGGGCAGGCAGGCAAGCACGAAGTCCTCCTGAGTCACAAGCCCGTGGGGACCTCACCTAGTATGAGGAGGAAGGATAATAGGGGCCCCCAGACTGTGTCCCCACCAACCAACTCTCAACAAGCAAGTGTCAAGGCCCAGAGGCCCAAGAGCAGGCATTCAGCATGCCCCTCAGGGCAAAGGGTGTACATTGTAGTAGAGTTTTGAAAACCTCACCTCTTGCTCAGCCTTGTCTTGCAAAAGTTCCCTCTTCATTCCTGCATTTTTGTCTCTGTACAAACTCGTCCTGTTTCATTCACCTGGCCTTTCTAGAGAGCAAGCAGCTCAGGCTGGTTAGGGCTGGGGTGCAGAGGCCTCTGCCCGAGTGACCCGTCCCAAGGCCAGGGAGGGCCAATACATGGGGTATGGGAGGGACCAGGAAAGGCATCCTGGCATTTGACAGTTGTCTGGTTTGGATTGTGAGATATTAGAGGCAATGGAATCCCCTGGGAGCTCCCCAGGGCAAGGACCAAGCCTTGTTTGTTGTTTATTCCTTAGTGTCCAGAACTGGGCCTAGAGAAAGTGCTCGTGTTTGCTGAATGAATATGTGAACAAATGAAAGAGCAAACACAGGGATTAGCAAACAGATGTAGACTAGTGTCACTGCAAGAAGACAGGGGGCCAGCATGAATAAAGGCTCAGAAATGGCAGTCCCCAGAGGTGTGTGCCTGTGGTGCCAGCTATTCAGGAGGCTGAGGCAGGAGGATCACTTGAACCCAGGAATTTGAGGTTGCTGTGAACTATGACCCCATGGCACTGGTGTCACTTGGCAACAGAGTGAGACACTGTCTCTAAAGAAAGAAAGAAAGACATCAGAGTCTCCCACACCCAGCAGCGGGCAAGTATAGAGTGCTTCTATTGTGCCAGACCCTGTGCTAAGGGCTCCACATGGAGTATTTCACCGCATCCTTACAGCAGTATTCTGCCAGAGGGACTTCTAATGTTTCATTTTACAAGCGAGTAAAAAAAAGGGCAGGAAGGGTCAGGTTCTTGCAGATGTGCATGGGCCCGGCTCGGTGCCTGTATCTCAGGCGGCTGGGGCACCAGCCACATACGCCAGAGCTGGCAGGTTCGAGTCCAGTCTAGGCCTGCCAGGCAACAAGGACAACTACAACCAAAAAATGGCTGGGCATTGTGGCAGGTGCCTGTGGTCCCAGCTACTTGGGAGGAAGCTGAGACAAGAGAATCACTTAATCCCAGGAGTTGGAGGTTGCTGTGAGCTGTGATGCCACGGCACTGTACCCAGGGCAACAGCTTGAGGCTATCTCAAAAAGAAAAAAAGAAGTGCATGGGCTCTCGGCCTGCATGCAGGGAGGCCCCCAGGAGCGGTCCCAGAAAAACTGCACTGGGAGGGGCAGCACTGTGGGCCCTGCCCCCTCAGAAGCTTCCTCACACCTCCCCTCCCTTTTCCTCCTCAGAGCTACACCCCCACAGTGTTTGAGCGGTACAGTGTCAATCTGGAAGTGAAAGGCAAACCTGTGAACCTCCAAGTCTGGGACACAGCAGGTGGGTGTGCAGAGCTTGGAAGTGTGGGATGGAGGAGGGGCTTTTGTGGGCCCCCAGATACCTGGGACAGAGTCAGGGAGGCCAGCCAGTCTCCCAGGGACAGTTGTTGGCTAGGATTGGGACCACCATGAACCTGAACCCTGCTTGCTTCTGACCTGAGTCTAAAGCCCATACCAAGGCAGCCCACTGTGTCCTGGAGATAAGAGAGGGGTATCTGGAGCTCTTTGCTCTGGAGGGGTGGAGTGTGCTTGATTTTCAAGCATCCCACCTTGGTTTTAGCTTCTGTGCAATCTGTCTGACCTCGGCCTCTGCCCTCCAGCCTCCTGAACTTGCCCACACAAGGGTTAGCTCAAAGTTGAACTCAGGGAGTCCCTGCAGCCCCTAACTTGGTGTAGGCTAAGGTATCTTTGCCCAGCTCCCACCTGCCCCTCATTCCTCGCCCCCTAAGCCCAGGGCCAAGTAGGCTTCTGAGGGACGGGCCTCAGTTCTTCCCTGTGGCTCCAGCCCTGGCCTCTGCCTCGACCCCCACACACACACTCCTTCCAGAACAGTGTCTCAGCAAGTGGTCTGGCACATTCCACAGGCAGACCAGGTGAGCACTGCCCCAAGGGGACATTCACGTGGAGTAGCTACCTAAGGACCAAATTTGTATCAGACTCTAAGGCTCCAGAAGTCCCTGTCTGATGCGATGGCCTCCCTGATACGGGGGCAGTGTCTGGCAAGGCTGGAGGAAGTGACTATCCCACTCCACCTAGGGCAAGATGACTATGACCGCCTGCGGCCCCTGTTCTACCCTGATGCCAGCGTCCTGCTCCTCTGCTTTGATGTCACCAGCCCACACAGCTTTGACAATGTCTTCGACCGGGTAGGTACGGGAGGGCAGTAGGCAAAATGCCCCACCCCCTACCCTCCACCTGGAGTTTGGCAAGCCATAGGTAACATCAAGTCCAGAGACTTTGGGGAAACTGATGCCCAGAGAGGGGCAGTGACTTGCACCGGGTCACACAGGGATTTGATGGCAGGCTCTGCCTTTCGGCCTCCCAATTCAGTGCTTTCCTGTCCTGCACTGTGCACTCAGAATGCTGGGAGCTCTTTCTACTGTGACTCTGCCTAAGATGCTGGGTGACCCAGGGGCCCTGCATCTCTCCAGCCTGTGCCTGCTAGGTCACATAAGCCCACAGCTCTCTGTGCGACTGTCCTCAGCGGCCTCCCAGGACACCCCCCCCACCAGTTATGTCTGGGGTTCCTGAGGCTGCTCATGGGTATCAGGGTGTGCTTGATCGCTTGAATTCCTCTGCTTCAGCTACCTCTAGCCTGGGCACAGCCCCTCACCCCCTGCTGCCAAGGCCTCCAGGGTTCCTCAGGGCACAGCCAGTGATGGCAGCAGCAACGACGACAGCAATGATGCCAACATTTCTTGAGAGCTCAGTGTGTTTGGGTCCTGGTCTGGGCCCTCAAATATATTGACTCATTTACTTCTCTGACCAGCCTTATGGAGTAGACACTACTATTGTTCTCACCCACATCACTTATCCAAAGAGGCACTTCTGTTGAAGCAGTGACACTGAGACTTGAACCAAGACAGTCTGCCCCAGGCACTCATTCAGAACTATGACAGCGCACATCTAAATGCCAGGTGCCATTTGGGCCTTGGTGACCAGGAGATACAGTGGTGCCCAGGACCAGGGTGGCAGCTGTGGGGTGGCGACAAGAGGCTGGGTTCTCATTAGTCTAGCAGGCAGAGCATCAGGATTTGCTGACAGTCAGGATGTGGGCTGGGAGGAAGGAGTTTTGACCGGAGCCATGGGAAGGCGGGGTTGCCCTTTCCCAGGATGAGAAGGAGGGGTGGTGGGCACCTGTTGGGCATCCCAGGGGGCATCAGACAGGTAGTTAAAGGGCAGGCCACCTCAGGAGCCAGAGCACAGGGCAAGGAGGGAGGTTGGCAGGATCCCAGTGAGATGTGGGAGAGTCAGGAGAGTGGGGCCCCAGGGTGAATGCAGCCCAGGTTGCAGAGGAGAGAGTGATCCCCATTGTCAGGCTTGTTGATGGCTTGGGTAGGAGGATAGCCATGACTTCACTGTTGGATTCATGTGGCGTCTCCCAGGATCCCACATAGGTCCCATTTGCTCCAGAAGTGAAATAGTATGAAGCCTGAATGGGCCATCTCAGCAGGCATGTGCTACTTTGGGGACTCCCAGTGCTCCAGTTGTAGTCCAGGCTAAAAAAACCTGGCCCTGTGGCCTCCCCTTTCCCAGAGCAGCCAATATGATCCAGGGCCCTCCTTCTGCCAGGCAAGCAGTGGAGGGGAAGCTGTGAGCCGATTTAAGGATTGTTTCCTGATATATTTTGCTGAGTTTAGAAGGTGGCAGTGAGAGGCCTCACCTTGCAGAGAGGCAGGACTCTACAGGTGGTAGCAGCAGGGCTCTGGGTCCCCCACACACACCTGGCTGAAATCCTGCCATTTCCAATTGTGCATATAAGGCCAAGTTACATAGCCTCTCTGTGCCTCCATTACTGTGCTGGAACAATGGGGTCGTTATAGAACTCGCTGCCAGGGACTTGGGGGATTAATGTGGTCATAGTATAAATTCTTAGATCAGAATCTGGCGCCAGGTTCTTTCTCACTAAGTGAGAAAGGCTGCTGTGCTGCTTCGGGGCAGGAGAGGGGCCCTGAGAGGGATGGAGCTCTCCACGGCTCACACACATGCACCCCTGCCCCCTGCAGTGGTACCCAGAGGTGAGTCACTTCTGCAAGAAGGTGCCCGTCATTGTCGTGGGCTGCAAGACCGACCTGCGCAAGGACAAGTTGATGGTGAATAAGCTCCGGAAAAACGGGTTGGAGCCCGTGACCTACCACAGGGTAGGAAACCCAGCCCGGGGTGGGGGCAGGGGAAGACTGGGAGAGGCACCTCTGGACACCTCCAAATGGCACCAAGCATCCAGCACATGTGGGATGTGGGTCAGCACAGGGGTTGTCTCAGGCTGTTGCAGGTCAACAACTGCCAGCACCTGGAAATAGTACCTAAACCTCTGGGAGGTTCTGCCTGTAGAGGGAAAATGCCACCTGTCAGGGTCAGCACTCCCAGCTGCATCCCAGATGGGAAGCCTGAGGCCCAGAGAGAACGCCCCACCCCACTGGTCAGCCTCTGGGCCCTTCTCATGCCTGGGTTAGTCAGAAGTTAATTATCTGGTGCCTTGAGAGGCAAAGAGCCCCAACCTGGAACTGAGGACAGGAACATGATGAAGTGCGTTGAGAGCACTTGGTTGAGCAGAAGCTATGGGTGCAAACCCATCTTCCAGGCCCAGTGTGGTGGCTCACACCTGTAATCCCAGCATTATAGGAGGCTGAGGCGAGTGGATTGCTTGAACTCAGGAATTCGAGACCACCCTGAGCAAGAGCAAGACCCCATCGCTTCTAAAAATAGAAAAACTAGCCAGGCGCAATACCTCACACCTGTAATCCCAGCACTCTGGGAAGCTGAGGTGAGTGGATTGCCTAAGCTAATAGGTTTGGAAACAGCCTGAGGAAGAACAAGACCCCCCTGCCTCTAAAAATAGCCCGGTGTGACGGATGCCTGTTGTCCCAGCTACTTGGGAGACTGAAGCAAGAGAATCGCTTGAGCCCAGGAATCTGATGTTGCTGTGGGCTATGATGCCACAGCACTCTACCGGGGCGACAAAGTGAGACTCTTTGTCTCAAAATAAAATAAATAAATAAATAAAAATAGAAAAACTAATTAGATGTGGTGATGGGTACCTGTTGTCCCAGCTACTTAGGAGGCTAAGACAAGAGGAAAGCTTGAGCCCAGGAGTTTGAAGTTCCTGTGAGCTATGACTCCACAGCACTCTATCCAGGACACAGAGTGAGACAAAAAAATAAAACAAAACAAAAAAGAAACTATCTTCCACTCTTATTCTGGAGACCCCCCAGGAGGCAAAGGGCTGTAGGGAGGCCAGGCTTGATGCCCACCCAGTACCCCCACTTAAAGCAGCCCCATCCACCTCTTTCTCACAGGGCCAAGAGATGGCGAGGTCCGTGGGTGCAGTGACCTACCTTGAATGTTCAGCTCGGCTGCAGGACAATGTCCACGCCGTCTTCCAGGTGGCAGCTGAGGTAGCTCTCAGCAGCCACAGTCGCAACGTCTGGCGGCGGATCACCCATAGGTTTTGCGTGATGACTTGACTGGCCTGGGCTCCTCCCTGCCCAGGACCACCTAGCACCTCTGGGAGGAGCTGGGCACTGACCTTTTGCTGAGTTGGCAGGGCTGGACCCAGTTCCCAAGCTGTGGCTGCTAAGCTGTACCTCAATAGGTGAGCACTACCAAGGCCAGGCCTTGGGGCCTGGGAAACCTGGATTGAGGCTGAGGGTTCCCAGACCCACCAGCCCTGTGCTGGGCTAGTCCTGGAGTCCCCTGGAATCACTCACAGGCTCCCAGGGTTCAGTCCTGGACTAACATCCTGGAGTGGCCTGTGTAGGCTAGCGCCACCTTGTGGCTATTCCCAGGGCTGCACCTGCAGGACATAGCCTTAGGACCCTCCTGTTCCTTCCCCGTTCTGCCTACCCTTCCCAGTGGTAACTGTAACAACTACAGTGACATTACTTGTCATTTGTGTTATGCCTCTTATTTCAAGGAACTTTATACACATGTTGCAAGGCAGGTTAAAGCCCATGCCATGTAGGTAATGGGGTGGAATTGCTAGGATCCAAACCCAGATTTGTTTCCAGGACCTTGGGCAAGTTCTGAGCCTCAGCTTCCTGACCTGTGAAATGGGAATAATCTCAAATTATATTATGGAGGTTTGGGATGAGTGAGAGGGTCATGAGGACCAGCACATGCAAAAGGCTTAGCAGGTGCTTAGCACTCAGTAGGAGGTCACAAAAGATCCAGCCCGGTATGGTGGTACATGCCTGTGGTCCCAGGTACTCATGGGTGGGGGATCACTTGAGGCCAGGAGGGCAACATAGTAAGACCTCATCTTTGAAAAAATAAGGTTCACTTTTTTTTTTTTAGACAGAGCCTCATGCTATCGCCTTGGGTAGAGTGCCGTGGTATCACAGCTCACAGAAACCTCCAACTCCTGAGCTTAAGCGATTCTCTTGCCTCAGCCTCCCAAGTAGCTGAAACTACAGGAGCCCACCACAAACGCCCAGCTATTTTTTGGTTTTAGTTGTCATTGTTGTTTGGCAGGCACAGGCTGGATTCGAACTCACCAGCTCTGGTATATGTGGCTAGTGCCTTAGTCGCTTGAGCTACAGGTGCCGAGCCTACATTTTTATGTTTATGTATTTATCTATTGTATTAGGCTTCTCTAGAGAAACAGAAACATACGGCATATCATATACATATGGGGTTTTATTTGTATATATATTAAAAAATACATTTATGTGGTTATTTATATATAGAGAGAAAGAGATTTATTTTAAGGGATTGGTGCACATGATTGTGGAGGCTGGTGAGTCTGAAAGTTGCAGGACAGGCTGGCAGTTTGGATGAGTTGGTGTTGCTGTCTGGAGTCCGAATTCTACAGGGTAGAAGGCTGGAAACACAGGTGGGGCCCCTGTGTCACTAACTTGAGACAGAATTTCTTCTCTGTGAAACCTCAATCTTTTCCTTTAAGGCCTTCAATGGATTGGACGAGGTCACCCCACTCTTTGAGGGTTATCTGCTCCACTGTGCTGGTTTAAATACGAATCACTTGGCCGGGTGAAGAGGCTCATGGCTGTAATCCCAGTGCTTGGGAGGCTGAGGTGGGTGGACTGCCTGAGCTCACAGGTTCGAGACCAGCCTGAGCCAGAGCGAGACCACCATCTCTAAAAATAGTCAAGCATTGTGGTGGGTGCATGTAGTCCCAGGTACTTGGGAAGCTGAGGCAAGAGAATCGCTTAAGCCCAAGAGTTTGAGGTTGCTGTGAGCTGTGATGCCATGTACTCTACCAAGGATGACAAAGTAAGATCCTATCTCAAAAATAAATAAAAAATGTGAATCCCTTCTAACACAGTGCCCTCACAGCAGCACAGAGACTGGTGTATGACCAATAACCAGGCACTGTAGCCTACTGTAGTTGTCACATAAGTTTAGCCATCACCTCTATTTATTTCTCTATTTAATCACCTCATACTTGTCATAACAATGCTGAGAGATAAGAGACAACAAGGTAGGCCTGGGGCAGTGGCTCACACCTGTAATCCCAGCACTCTGGGAGGCTGAGGCAGGAGGATCCCTTGAGCTCAGGAGTTTGAGACTAGCCTGAGCAAGAGCAAGACCTGTCTTTACTAAGATGTAGGAAAACTAGGGCAGCACCTGTGGCTCAAAGGAGTAGGGCGTCGGCCCCATATACTAGATGTGGCAGGTTCAAACCTAGCCCCGGCCAAAAACTGCAAATTTAAAAAAAAAAAAATAGGAAAACTAGCCAGGCGTTGTGGTGGGCGCCTGTAGTCTCTGCTACTCAGGAGGCTAGACAGGAAGGTGGCTTGAGCCCAGGAGTTTGAGGTTGCTGAGAACTAGGCTAATGACACAGCACTGTGGCCTGGGTGACAGCAAGACTGTCTCCACCTCCCAAAAAAAGGCACCAAAGCAGAACTTGTCCCCCATCCCCCGCTACCCTGTTTATCAGACAAGATAGAAGTCTGAGGCCCTTCCAGCATCTTCCACCCTCAGCTTTCTTGGCCACACCCTCCCATCTCACCCATGTTGCAAAACCAGCAGCAGCCTGTAGATTCTCTCAGGCCACCCAGACAAGCACATCTAGCTGGGCATTGTGGCAAGTGCCTGTAGTCCTGGCTACTCAGAAGGCTGAGGCAAAAGAATCACCTAAACCCAGGAGTTGGAGGTCACTGTGAGCTGTGACACCACTGCACTCTACCAAGGGTGATAAAGTGAGACTGTGTCTCAAAAAAAGAAAGAGAAAAAGCATAAAAGCAAAATGATTACCAAGGGCTCCAGAAACATATTTTGGGAAATGAGAGAACTATCTGAGTGAGACTTAGCTTGCTGGGCTTGAGAATAGGAAAGAGTATTCTGGCTGTGGCATGTGCTTAAAGGAAGAGCAATCGGGCTGGAAATGGAGGCTGCATTATCTCCTATCACTGAGCAGATTATGCTAAAAACCCAACATGGAGCCTGTCATCTAGGTAGGGTTTTCCATAGAGGCCCATAACACCATCTCACCTGCTGTGAGCCCTCACCTGGCTGCAGCTAGCAGTCCCTCCCTGGAGCCGGTTCCAGTGAAACCGCCATGTTGGTGGCTGGTTCTCATTAAGTACCAAATGCATCAGCTCAGGAGAAATGGTCCAGGTCAGCCTCAGGGGATGTTCCAAGTTGGCTCCAACTCCACAATGTTAGAAAATACACCTTTGGTGTTGATCAGACAGAGCTTTACCAGTAGCTTTGCTCAGGTTCATGTTGTAGTTGACAGGTGTTTGGATTTGAGTCCGGAGCACGTGGCCTCAGAGCAGTATATCAGTGCATTTCAGGGTTTGGTTCAGATCAAGCCTCTGAGCATGAGAAAGTTATTGGTTCTCTTTCAGACCAGAGAAGGCGCTGTGGCAGGTGGGGTCACAAGTGGCCCACTCATCTTGTGGCTGGCCAAATGGGTGCACAGCGGGGAGGGGCCTCAGCCCACATCCCAGTTAGGACATCCCCTAGTCTCTTTCAGGAAATAACTTGCCCCTTAAGCCCCTGCAGGACTTTAAGTGCTATACAGGAGAGCCTTGCAGGCCCCCACTTCACAGCTGAGGACACAGAAGCACAGAGAGCTTGATAACCTGCTCATAACCTCAAGAAGTGGCTGGGGTAGGACTTAAGCCCAGCACAGCGTGACCCCAGAATCCAGGCTGTCAACCCTGTCCTGAGTCACCAGCTCTGGACTTCTGCCCTGGACCCCCAGCCCTCACCCCTCCTTACACAGGTGTATCCTGACCCCAAGGAGCTCACAGACGAGGGAGATGACAGAGCCCAGAAGCATCTCCAGGTTTGAGAGGGCCCTCCATCCCTCTCCCCGCTCAACCCCACTGCTCCTTGCCACCATCAGCCCCCTCAGACACGGCAGGTGCCAGGCTATGAAGCATGAGATTTGCCCCAGACACCAACCAGTTTAGGCTGAGCTATACAACCCATAGGCAGGTCAGCTGACTGGTCAGACCATGAAGCAGTCTGAGCAGTGCCCAAGGACCCAGCAGAAGGAATTATTTGGGTTCTCTGTGCCAGCACTTGATGACCTGCCATTACTAGATAACTTACTTCAGAGAAGAAGAAAGCCGGGGTGGCACAGAAGATTGGCCTGCATAGGGCGACAGGGTCAGAGGCAGTCCTGAAGTTTGGGCTCTGGAGACACATCTGAGAGGTCAAGGTCAGGGAAGAAACACTGTCTGTGGACAAAGGGAAAACAGGGTAGGGCCTGGGGCTGAAGGACCCAGAGGGGTGGAGAGGCTTGGGAGAGAGGACTGGGGCAAACCCTCCGAGGGAGCGGGAAGTGGACACTGCCTGGCCTGGTGGGGCTGCCCTGGGCTGGGGGGAAGGTGCTGCAGGGCATGTGGCGAAGTCAGGAACACACACACTTAGCTCTCTCCCCTCACCAGGCTGCTCACTGGCACTTTCTTACAGATGGTTGCCACTTGATTTGGGGTTTTTCTTTTTTGATTTTTTGAGAAAGAGTCTCACTTTGTCACCGTTGGTAGAGTGAAATGGCATCATAGCTCACAGCAACCTCAAACTCTTGGGTTCAAGTGATCCTCTTGCCTCAGCCCCCAAGTAGCCGGGACTATAGGTGCCCATCACAATGCCCAGCTATTTTAAGAGACAGGGTCTTGCTCTTGTTCAGGCCGGTCTCGAACTCCTGAGCTCAGGCAATCCACCCGCCTCAGCCTCCCAGGATTACAGGTGTGAACTACCATACCTAGCAGTTGCTATTGAAATAGTCCTGTCTCCTGCCGTGCCAGGTCCCTGTGGCAGAGTGGGTTTGCTGGAATCTTGTTGCCTCAAACAATGCCATGCATACAGTAAGCACTAAATAAATGTTGGAGCAGTGTGTGAGTGAATGACGCTGAGTCAATACCATGCTCAGGCCACACATGTGCAGGTCTAGATCACCATGGGTGTCTCCTAGACTGCAGGCTCTCAGCCTCCTCCACCCTCCTCACCCCTGGCAAAACCAGATTCCAAAGCAGAAATCCATGCACATCACCTCTTCCATAGAAGCCTTCAGCAGCACCCTCTGCCAAAGAAGAATGTCCAATGTCCCCAGCTAGGGACTGGGGCTCTCCCGAATCTTGGCCCAGCTTACCTCCTCTAGGGCCTTGCCCCTAGAATACCTCACCATACCCAGAGGTTGCCCTCAGAGAACAATGACCTCAGCAAGCCCCTCCTCGATACCACAGCCTGTTCAGACCTCCCCTCCACCCCCTAATCCTTGAAGGTCTGGCTCAGGCACCGTCTTCTCCAGGAGCCCCTGGATCTGCCATATACATTCTCACACCCTCCTCGAAGCCACATACTCTCATCAAAGCATCTGCTCTTTTGGCACCAGCCCTTGGTTATGGAAATGCACTTTTCCTCATTTCAATGG